TTACTTTATAAATATAAGACTTTTATTTTAATATTTTCTTTAAGTTTTTATCACTTTTTATTATTTTAATACTTTTATTAGTTAACTTAATTTCTTGTTAGTATTTAACTTTTTAAAGATAAATACTCTTTTAAATAATCTTGATTTTATTCAAAATATTTTGACTTTTCACCAATAATTAAAAAATAATAAATTTTATAGAACTTTACAAGTTATTAAAAATCAGTTAATACTTAAAGATAGTAATTAGAAAATAGTATATAATCTTATTATAGAAGATAACTTAACTTTAATATAACTTTAGAAAGATCTTCAGAACTGGAACTAATAGTAAAAGAAATTTCAATTTCAATAAATAATCTACAAGAAAGTATCAAAATAAAATAATTTATAAATATTATCAATACTGAAATATTAAGAATAACAATTATAACAAATATTTCTTATCAATTTTAATCTGAGTAAAGCTAAAAGATAAGAGTTCAAATAATCTTTAATGATTTATTTGAAAATCATAATAATTAATCTGATAAATTGTAATTCATAAGATATTATTATTTTGGATAATTAATCAAAGAAATATCTAAATAATACTCAAGAAAATTAATAAAATTACAAAGAGAACTGGCTCAATTCAAAGAAATTACTTTGATCAAAAGATATTTTTTTCTTGAAAAACAAATTTATTGGTTATAATCAAAATGTAAACTTAAAAAAGTATATAACTTCTAATAAATTACTTATAATGATCTTGTATATATAAGAAATAAAAAAATTAAAGAAATTTTGAAAAGAATTTAATTAGTCTTGCTAAAACTTAATTTTACTTAAAGAAATCAAATATTATCATAGTAACATAAATTTTTTTAATTTTATAATTTTTGAAACTTGAAATTATAATTAATTAAGTAGATCTTTAATTAATATATAATTTTAAATAATATACTTGATGTATCAGTTATAGATTTAATCATAATTCAATAATATTTTTATAATATTTCTGCAATATTTTAGTAATAATTCAAGATTATAAATGAATAATTAGCTTAAAAGTTAATAATAGTTCATAAATAGTTTAATAATAGCTCAAAAATACTTTAGAAATAATTTAGCAATAAATTTAATTTATTTTTATTATTTATCTTTTCTTTTTAAAATATTTATCTTATTTTTTTATTTTATTTCATTATTTATATTATTTTATAACTTATTATATATATCCTTAATATAGTATATTTCTTTTAATACTAAATTCTTTGAGAGAGCAAGATCTGAATAAGTTAAATAACTGTTATATTTGCTTTTTATTAGGCTAAATCTTCTAGAATATTATAGAATTTAGTTATAATAAAATATAAATAAAGTAATTTTACTTTTCTTTTTGTGAATAATCTTTTTATTAAGTTCTTTCTCAAGTATTTTAGATAGTCTAGCATTATTTATATTCTAATTAAGAATAATTTTAGGAATATTTTCTTGTTATTTTTCTTCAATAGTATCTGATTTTTTATTATCTTTAGCAATTTTTTTCAGAATTAACCTACAGATCTGATTCCATAAGAAATAGTTCTTGAATTTCTATTAGTAGTCAAGTATTCATATATATCAAGTAGTAAATTCATATTATCTGATTTGACAGTTAATATCTGAATACTATCAATAAGAGCTTATTTTAAGTTAGTAATATATTTTGATTATTATTTATATTTTGATTATTTTTTGAATTTATCTGATTTAGTGATTTATTATTTTATTAATAATTATTTTTATTTATTTTTTGATAATTGTTTTCAAAGTTATTTTAATTATTCTTATATAATTATAGCTGAGAATAGTTTGGATAAATATAATCTGACTTATCATAATTATAATAAATAGAAACTGATAATCAAAGATACTTTTATTATAATACAGTTTTTTATTAGTTTTAATACTTTCTATTTGCTAGTTAAGATCTTGAAGTATATTAAAATAGTGTTATGATAAATTAATAAGTAAAGTTTCACTTTAATTCATCTTAATAATATAGGGTTGGGAGAGACTGAAATAATTAAAGGATAAAGAGAGGGAAATTAAACTATAACTTTTAATAATGATAAAGATTTCTAAGATCTGTACCAATATCTACAAATATTATTTCAAAAAGAGGTAATAAAATAAAGAAAGAAAGAAATAAATCAAAGAAATTATAAAGATTAACTGAGTGAAGTCACTAGTAATTAATATAATTTAAGATTTTAAATTGATTAAATAATAAGCTATTAATTAAAGAAGACTATAATTAAGATAAAGATAAAAACTAAAATACAAAAACTAAATAACTAAATAAATAAAAGATATAACTTATTTATAGTAGAGATCTTTTACTCTCAAAAATCATAAACAAAAAGTATGATTTATTTATAGTAAAGGTTTTTTACTCTCAAAATAATATCAAATAAATCAAAAATTAATATAATATTATAATTCAAAAATCAAAAATCAACTTTGTATGATCAAAGAAATAAAACTAAGTGAAAGAAAGAGTACTAGTATAATTTAAAAAGGAATTTTTTGAAAAGATTACTATTATTATGATAATAAGCTTTTAAATTATATTTTTCAAATAATTCAATCAAAAACTATTTATTTCAAGCTGGGATAGCAGGTTCTTTTATATATTTTTCAGATATAAAATTATTATAGTATTACTAGTTAATACTATCTAATATATAAGATATAATTAAAATACTATAATATAATTAATTTGAAATAGATTACGTCAAAGTATGTTAAAAGATATCAAAGAATATTAAAGAATATCAGAGTATGTAAAAGAATGTTAAAAGATGTAGAAAGATATGAGAAGATATGGAAAGATGTAAAAAGATATAAAAAGATGTGAGAAGACATGAAAGAATATTGAAGAATATCAAAGGACAAGAAAAAATATTTGAGATCATCATCTAAGTGTAACTGTTTCATCAAAATTAAAAAATAATCTTCCACTATACTATTCTACTATGTATATGAATATCATATTACAAGATAATAAAAATATAGATCCTAAATATTAATTAAAATATAATATTTAAAAATAGAAACATGATAATAAATATAGCAATATATAATATAGAAATAGAGATATTTATAAAATAAATGAAAAATATGAAAATATGCAATTTTACATAACTAGAGAAAGATTAAGGAATTAAGAAATTTTATGTCACTATAGTAATAGTATATTAATATATCTCTTTTCAAAATTATTAAAAAAAATATGATTAAAATATATAATAAAATGAAATAATTTATACTTTTAATATTTTAAAAACTCTTTGTAAGACTATAAAAAAAATAAATATTTATATAATAAAAAATAACTAATATAATATTAAAATTTTAATTTTTCATTATAGATCTTATATATATTAATTAAACTGACTGATTAGAAATACTTAAAAAATTTTTAAATATATAGATTAATACAAAAAAATTTATATCTCAGATAAATATTAATAAATTATTTTTTTAAACTAAAATTTTAATTTTATCTTATTTTTTATTTAATTAAGTTATTAAATATTAAAATTTATTTAAATAAAAATTTTTATTATATATCTTTTATAAAAAAAATTTTTATTAATAATAACTTTTTTTAATTATTATTTCTTAAATTATACTATATAAAATTTAATTAAAATTAATATAAAAATTATATAGTAAATAATTTAATTACTTAACTTTAAATCTTAATATTTTTATAATTACTAATTTGATTTTTATGAAATTTAAAATATATATTTATCAAATCTAGGTAATTTACTTATATAATTTGAAGTTTTAATATTGCAAATTGATATTAATAATATTAAATTATTTATCTTTTAAAAAAAATAATTTTATTTTAGTTTTTTTTAATAAAGTAATACTTTATTTATTATTAAATTAAAGTATAATAGAATAATTAAAATAATATAAAAAGTTAATTAGATCATTTTTTATTTAATATAAAAAATTATAAAGATTGGTTAAAATTTGAATGATTTTTATTAAAATAATTATTAATTTTTATATTAAGATATAAATCTTTTTGCACCAACCTATATAAATATTTATTTTTATATAATATATATCAAATTTTCAATCAAATAAAATTTTAAGTGTTATAACTTTTTAAAATTATAACAAAAAGTCTGTTTTAACAGAATTGTAACTTAGACAAAAAGCAACAAGTCTGTAAGAAGGTTTTTTGTTATAATTATTTGTTTTTGAGTTATAACACTTTTTATATTACATATAAATATTGGATATCTTATGCTTTTCCTTACTATACAGTATACTTTTATCTTATTATTCATTCTTAATACATTGCACAACAGAGCAGCTTCAAAAATAAGTTATACATGTATAGTGATAATAATTTTAATTAGAATAATTTTGAAAAAAAGATTTGCATTCATGTAGATAATTAATGAAAATAAAATCCTCCTTTTATAAAAGTACTTTGGTGAATAAGGATGCAAATTCATAATTATGAACTCATCTGATCAATTAATTTCTGCAATTCACCCGAAATGATAATACTGCTCTTTCAAATCAAGCATAGTAACCCTATTTCCCAACACACATAAAACATTAGGCTTTTATTCGCGCAATATTTTTGTTTTTATTAAAAAAATGAAATATACTCACATGTCAAGGAATATGTGGGAAATGTGAAGTGCAACTATAAAATAAAAAATTTTTTATTGTAGAATCATTTTTTAAAAAATTAGAAAATATACCTGACAAAAAAAGAATTAAAATATTGCCGTATTCTGGAACATTGTGCTGTAAAACATTTTTTGGCTGATCGTTCTGTTTGGGTTACACTCGAACACCACAAAAGTAAATCAGAAACCCGATTGGCTGGTGATGAGATCATTGTGCGGGGAAATTGTTTATTATTATAGTGCAGATGTAAATTTGGTGTTCGTCGCATGTACATATAATCATCTTTTTCGAAAAAAGATACAAAAATGAACAAGAAAGAAATTATGAATGAAGAAAAAGTCAGCGCGACATTTGAGTTTACAATTTTTACAACAACCAAGGAGTTTTGGAGTCCACCATTTGCAACCTCGACTAACATGTATTGGCAGTTGAATTATGAAGCCGTAAGATTCGAAATTCTTCGTAGATTTGTGTAAATTTGATTTTAAAAAAATTTCTTTTCTAGGAGAACGAAGCAGAACCTGGTCATTGTGCTCTCTGGTTGAGAGCCATACCTAATTATGAGGAGAGCACATCAAACACAATGTGGTTTGAGAGAGCAAAAATGAAACCACTTTTATATTTTAAGAATGCTTTGAATCCAAAGTAACATTAATGTTTTTATTTTCATTTATATATCTATCGAACTACTGATTTTGAAATACGATAATTAATTTTATAGAAGTCATGTCAACATCTACGAGACTTTTATAGAACCTGAAGAATATTCACTATTCTCTGGAAGATTAGGTAGGTTAGTTTAATAATTATTTTTTATCACTTTATTATAAATCTAATAATTGATATTTAAAGGTTACAATTTTACGAGAGCTTATTTACCACCAAAGATTATTCTCGGAGTCACATTCACGGAATTGCGCTCTCAATCAGACCGAGCAGATTTCCCTTTTCCTCCAAAACATCTTTCTGAGAATGCTGTCAATGCATGGATGCATTTACTATGTGACAAGGAAATCGCGGATGTTGTATTCAATGTAAAAGGAAAAAAAATATATGCCAATGCAATAATTCTTTCGGCAAGGTCCGAATATTTTCGAAGCCTATTTAGTCGAGAATGGGCAGAATCAACAACACCCAAATCACCTCCATCACCTGACAACAAAAATAATAATTTGAACACTTGCGATTGCGTTTTAAAAAATCAGCGCAAAGAGATATGTAGGGAAAATAGTAAAATTAAATATGTCGTTGAAGTCACAGATTTCGACAGCGATGTCTTTATGGCAATGCTTCGATATCTTCATACCGCTGGCGTGGTATTAAATCGATATACCGATTCAACCTCATGGAGCTGTAAAATATTCGCAATCAGCGACAAATACCTAATCTCGGAACTTCGAGGCATGGCAAAAGGCCAGATTCTGTATCAATTATCAATTGAGAATGCAGCAGAGATTTTCTTTGAATTTGCATGGAAATGGCATGATTTAAAGGAGGAAGTGTTAAAATATGTGGTCGAACATTTTCCCAGGATACGAAAGACCAAAGGATACAAGAAAATATGTAGACCCGGACATGTTGATGCTCGAATTGGAAGTCTCTCGATTGAGATTATGAACGCTTTGGATTTCTCGTCTGATGGTTCTAGTGAAGATGGTAGCGGTAGCATGTGCTAGCAATCGTGTAAATTCTTATTTATCAACATTGAATGATTCTGTATTCTTGTTTTATATTTTTACTCATAATAGAATCCTAGAATAATATTTATTTTTAGCATCGTACGCTTTTTTTTTAATGTAACTTCTGTATTTTCTAATTTCCTTATTAATTCCAATATTATGTGCAACATGAAGAGTAAGAAATAGAAATATTTAAAATTCCACAAAAGCAGAAAACGTAAAAATATGGTCTAATGAAGTTTTTGCCTCCACATTTCCATTTTTTAGTGCTCTCCTATCCCAAATAATCGCCTGATGAATATCTAACAGCGTCCCAACTCCATACTCGTGACAATATCCCAACATGTGTTGAGCTTTATGATATCGACTTTTCGCGGCTTTTCGATACCAGATATAGGCGTTCCGTACATTTTCCTTTACTCCGCGACCTTCCAACAAGCAGTTTCCACAGTTACATTGAGCGGCTACTGAGCCGCCAAATGCAGCTTTCTCGTACCATTCGAATGCTTTTACTCGGTTGACTGATGTTCCAATTCCCATATCGTAACAAAATCCTGAAACCAAAGATTTGCAATTTAGATTGTGTCAAAAAAGTAACCGGAAATTCAAATTTGTTTATGTTACCCAAGTTACAAGCTCCATGGGCATTAAGATTATCGGCGGATTTTTGATACCAAAGAAAGGCTCTTTTTGCATCTACCTCAGTCCCGATTCCTTCGTCATAACATCGTCCAAGATTATATTCGCCATTCGAATTTCCCAAAGTAGCCGATTTTTTGAACCATTCAAATGCCAAATACTGATTCACTTCTACCCCACTTCCAAATTCATATTTTATTCCTCTACCAAATGATAAAGATTATTGAAGAATATTTCAATACGATAGAAATGTATACTGCCATTTTACCCACAAATTATCAGCGCCAATTCCACTTCCTCCTTCAGCTGATGCAACCGTCCACTCGAATCCCTTTATTAAATCTATTTCTGTACCGTTTCCATATGTATAACAATAGCCCAAGGTACATTGCCCCCTACTATTTCCACCCTCGGCTGAACGTTTACACCACTCGAAAGCTTTATTTTCATCATGCACTGTGCCGATTTGATCGAAGTAGCAAAGTGAAAGAAATGCCTGTGCTAAAGCATCTCCCTTCTCTGCGGCCAACTTATAATTTTTGAATGCAGCGTCTTCATTTATAGAGGTGCCGATTCCATATTCATAAAATACCGCAAGTAGACACTGATTTTTATCTTGATCTTTGTGTAAAGTTAACCATTCGAATACTTCAATTGGATCAAGATTATTTTCAGTGAGAAATTCCATAAAAGTTCGTTTGAAAAATCGTTTGTTTCCTCTTGTTACACATTTTTTCAGTACTTCGGAAAGAAGTATGGGAAGTTCTTTGGTGGATATCAAAGTTGAACAAGACATTATTATTATTACTTACAAATTCTTTTTATTTTACAAAATTTTCTTAAATACATGTAGTACTTGGAAAATTGATCTAACGCTAATACTAAAGTCAAAAACCTGTGATCTACATGGAATATTATTTATGCTAGGTATGTACATGCACATGCACATGCACATGCACTACAGGTATCCAAAATAATACATGTACATGTAATTCTCAATTCACGTGATATGACGTCATACCGAAAACATCATGGACATGTATAAATCTTTCTCAGCCCGCTTCGGCTATTACGTACATGTACATGTATTAAAAATTCTGCATGTACATGTAAAAATTAGCAATTTGAGAAATTAATTGAACTGCAGCTCTTGTGTTATGGAAAATACTGTATTGTGATATGTGATGCTAAAAAAACACGCGCGGTGTCGGTATTTCATTCTGATATCATTGATTAATAGTTAAATATCTACAAAAATTGCATCATACGGGTAACCGTAGTTATAGATTCATACTTTTTGTCCCCAAATTCTCAAAAAATTTACAAAAGTTTTCCATTCATCTTCCATTTCTTTACGTGCTTTCTCGAGTAATTCGTTAAATTCATACGTTGTTATTCCAATTGCACGTGCTAATTGAGGAGCAAAATTTCCCAGTAAGATCATCATACTTTCTTGGTGCTTTTTACCCACTTCACCGTCCCAACTTCCAAGAGGAAGTGTCCTTATCTCTTGTTGGATATTTACTATTGATTTTGTTGATTCCATCATTTCTGATAATAGTTCAGTTATTCGTCCATTTATGCCACGTGACTGGAGTTCTTTTAATACTATGTAAAAGTATGCAATATATAAGTTAGAATATTCACGGCGTAACAGTGGAGGCATGTATATAAACTTACGGCCATTGGTAACTTTTAAATAATTTGGACCAGCATTTCTAGGTAGAAGGTCGAATTCCATAATCTCAATAAAACCTCCTGACTTTGTAATCCGAATCATTTCAGGTATCTGAGAATAAGTGGATAGATAAATTAATTAGAGACTAACTAAAATAGAAATAAAGTGACATTACTACATACCACTACTTCTTCCCATTCCTTTTCAGTGAAGGCCATTGACATTATTTGTATATGTACATAATCAAATTCATTATTCTCTATTTTTATTTATTAATTTTGTTAGTATATTTTATATTTAAAGTATAAAAAAGGAAGGAATAGCCAATACTAACCGAAAGGAACCCCATCGAGAACATTGTTCTGTATAAATGACAGATTTCCTGGATAAAATTTTGTTGAATCAATAGCAGATATATCTAATCCTAAGAAATTTGATCTTGGAAATTCTGTTGCCATTTGCGATAACCATGTGCCTTCACCGCAGCTACAAAACGAATATTCGTTATTAGTGTTATTATTATTATTATTATTATTAATTATTATCCCATGATGATGATGATTATTACCCAATATCCAAAACTTTAGCGCCCGTATTTAAAATTTCTTCTATGGGGGAGGAAAAATCCTTTTTCCACATATATCGATGTAAAAAACGTTGTATCTCCATTCTGCTAACCTCTTCATCATTGTTAGGTAAATTATTATAGTTGTCATTTTCGATAGCATAATATCGAGAATATCGAGGCGTTTTTCTTGTTTTACGTCTCCTCCTCAGGAATTTTGATGATGATGATGATGATATTATGTTTCCCATTTTTTGTTTATATAGATTTTATTTGTGCTGTATTGTGTAATATTTGATACACAGTAACGATATATTTTCAAATATGAAATACTATTATATGATGATGATAAACTCAATATGAAATTGCTGATGCTAATGTATTATAGTGAGGTAAATTGAATTTATCGGTTTGAATAAATAAAAAATCGAAAAGCACGAAAGAAAGTAAAAGAGAGAATCGAAATCAAAAGAGTGTGATAGATGTAATATATATATATATATGTATAAGATGTAATAAACGCGCGCGATTAAGTTTCCCTTGGCAAGTAAACTTTGTCAAGTGTGAGTAAAAAAGAAATATGTTACTTGGTCTTTTAATAAGATAAAAAACGCGTGTGCTGAAGAATTTATAATTCTTTCGGACTATTACTTCTGTACATTAAACGTTCCATTGTATCGTGCATATTATATATGCAATACCGATATCATTATCTCCATCTTACCCAATTAAAAATTGTACCTAAAATAGGGAGACAACAAAAAAGATTGTATTTTTTAAATTGAGATATACCAAACTTTATCTGATAGAGAATTTTTTGTACGATAAAGTTTAATTTTCTTCCCCTAATAGTGATAAGAATGATAGAAAATTGAACACGAAGAGAAAAAACGTTTGCATTTGATATTAAATGCATTGGAATTTTGTGTTTAATTTTCTTGATTTCATAAATGCATGTATTTTTGTTGCGCCTGATTTGCCTCTCAATCTTTGGATTTTACTGTAAATCAGCGTTGGGTATCAGATACGGAGAATTAATTGAAATTTTCGTAACACTATAATACATAGCATGCATATTTGTCAATTAATAACTTCTTTTACATGTACAACTTTTAATTACCGTGCGCGTTATTTCGTTAATCGTAAAGATCTTTTTTTGAAACAATTCATTTCATGTAACGTAACGCTGATTATCCATCCAGTGACCCGTGAAAAAATGGTAAAATTATCTAACCAATTGCTTTTAAATTGATAACATCATCATTGGCAATACGATTATTTCCTCAAAGCACAACTGAAAGTATGTGAAGCGAATAAAGAAGCTGGAATTCGAAAATGCATTCGATTATCTTCCGAATGTGCAAAGCAACATACGTGTCGGTATTGGAGATGGTCATATGAAAATGAAAAAAATAAAATCTTTGCACCAATCGTTTATTAATTGTGCATGGAGAATAAAGAGAATAAACTGACACAAGATCGTTGGGTAAATGACTAAAATAAACTCTTATTACGTACAGTACGTTTAGTATGAAATTGGCATTATAATCATGGGTACATCGCATTGTTGAAAAAACTTGATTAGTTCAATATTTTGCGCGACATTAGCTGAAAATTATTACATGTACATGCACCGTTTATCGTCCTGTATAAACAAAATAAATATCGATATTGATGTAATAACACGAAAATCCCATATCACAAGCAGATTGCATCGGATAATTTTGATAGGTTCGTCGTATGCATATTTTTTTTACAATGAAATCAAAATTCAAAAGAAAGTTCCCATGAACAATAATCAAGGGACATTTTCTGAAAAATCTACATTTTTCAGAATTCAGAAGTTGGAACCTTATGCTTTTTATTCTATTATTATTTTTTGAGCGGTGATCATACTTTAATTTTTAGTATTAACAGATCGATCGATATGTAGCAAATAGTTTGGCACCACCACCACTATGTTTATCCAAAGATGAAAACTTTAAAATTTTAGAAGGCGAGTACAAAAGTCCCTCGAAATTTGCGAGATGTGGTGAACTTAATTATGTAATTCTTTTGTCAAAATCAAGGAACCAACTAGAGTTTCATTTAATTTTACGGATCATATGCAATAACATTGCGTCAATCCTAAGATCAAAAAATTGGTTATACATGTATTTGTTTCTCTTGTTAATTTTATACATGTTACATTACAATATAATATACAGTACGCATGTATATCATTTCTCTAAATCATTTTTAATTAATTATATTGACAATACATTTCATGCACGGGGTGGAAGATAGAACTTTGTATTAATTTTTCTTCAAATTTTCCGTTTTGCTTATTTGCTGTTGCAAAAATAATTGTACTTTTATAGGGAATTTAATATTGATGGAATGGAATCAAGAAATATAAAATGATATCTCGAATCCGAATTAAAAACTCGGATCAATTTAATTGCATAAATAAGACAGCATTCAATCAATTTTCTATAAATCATAGACATAACGGGTCGAATAAAAGTTAATTCGCAGACAAATTTTTCCAAATCATGTCTTAGAGACCGTGAATTTATAAAATGCGTGCATTAGAGATATTTTTACTTTTATCTCGAATTAGCGGAAATTCACTCTTTTTCTAATAAATCACTATTTTGAAGAGTTTTGCCAATTCAAATGTAATGGATTGAACAATGCTTCGATAATTTACATGTTGAAACACATAGAACAAACAAATTCTATATGTAATTGTGTTATCTGAATAAAAAGTGTTCATACAACTGCATATACTATCGCTATTATTACATTATCAAGAATGGATACTTGCCGTCAAAAAAAAAAAAATACAAAATTATTAAATTCTACTATGTATGTTTACAGTATATGGCTTTATATATGCATTATTTTTCAAAATATTAACCTGTAATATTTATTGTCCTTCCACGATAAATATGCTAAATGTTTATATGCTAATTATTTGAGATGCAAGATTGAATATTAGGAAAAGTAATTAAAGTTTTTTTTTTGTAATTTTTATTCTTGTATGAGATTTGCTATTATTCACTGGTTGGTTGAGGGATCCAAGGAGCGTTTGCTAGTAAATCAGGAAGTACGTGTTCGGACTGTCTTATTTTTTCTGATGGTTGTTGAAGATTTGGTTTTCTTCCGACAAATCGTTTCCAATCTTTTTTAGCAAAACATCTCCAAAAGAAGAATAAAGATATTAAAGGAGCCGAAATGCCTGATATTATAATTATAATTATTGCTGATAATGGAAGCGGTTTCGAAATTTTCGTGTATTCGTCAGTGGTTGGCTCGAGTGTATTTGATGGTGAAGTGGTTGATGGTGAGGTGGTGGTTGATGGTAAAGTGACTGATGAGAGAACTTCTTGTTTATTAGGAGAAATAACAGTAGTGGTTGAAGCAGCAGCGTGAGAAGTAGCAGTTATAATGGACGACGTTGTTGAAGTAGCAGTTATAATGGATGATGAATTACTAGTGGATGATGTTGATGAATTACTAGTGGATGATGTTGATGTTGCTGATGCTGCTGTTGCTGCTGCCGCTGCTGTGGGTTTTGGTGTTGTTTTTGATTTTAAAGATTTAGTAGTAGCTACTGGTCGAGCATTCACTACTAATCCTTCCAACAAAAAAACCAACAAGACATATAAAGATAAAAAAATAAAAAGTGACTTGCACTTCATATTTTTTTTAAAAAGAAACTTAAAGGATGGGATGAATTTCTTTGGGTAAAAAAAAATAACTAACCCATAAAAAATTGTTCTAATTTACCGATTTACTTTATAAAGAAAGGATAAAGGGAATGAATGTCATATCATCACATCAAAAAAGAAAGAAATGGATTGATTAATGTTATTATTCGTAAATAGAGCGCGCTAACGTTTGAGGATCTCCGATAACGTCTACTCTGCAAAAGGAAAAGAATGGTGCGTCCCCTGCTTGCTTTATTTTTTAACCCGCTAAAAGGCTATAACGATAACGATAAATACGTTCGTGCTTTAGTTCGGGTTTTTGTTTACCTATTCCGGTATTTATTCAAATTCGGATTTGATTGGCGCGACATTCGCATACATTATCACTAATACACCGTGGCACATTTGATGTATAAAATTAATGCGTGTGTTATGCGGGTATGATGTTACCGTTCCGTTGCTAATTAATGCTCAGTGTTTCTATTATTGTTTGTTGTTGTTGCGTTTATTGTCTGTTGCCATTATCTTTATTGTTAGGTTGCCTTGCCTTGTGACGAAACATGTTCTTATTCCTTTCTCTTATTTGTGTCATCAGTCAGCGTCTGATTTTGATAATTCATCATACTTGATGCATCACAATAAAAGTTTGAACAACGTTTCGTGCATCTATCAATGGAAGAGGATCCTTCTTTTTGATTACAGTATAAATATTTCACAATCATTTCTCTCAACGTTATTATGCCTTTGCACAATAAATTCTGTCCTGTATGCGTTATCCTTATTAATTATTAACGATGCGTTATTATTGGTAAGATAGGTGAGCCATAACGTATTGAAGCGAAAACGAGAAAACTTTATAATATACTGATGATTTATTATCTATCCGAAAAACATGTTTGCTTTTGATGTCGAGTCTCGACGCAGTAATGTTAATTTTTTTCTTAGTATGCCAAGTAAATCTTTGGGATTTATCGTGAATTGCTGGCACTTTCCAAATATAGTTAAATTAACTATGATGCGTTATACATATTCACGTATATGTTAAATAACGTCAACCGTTATGACTTATGAAATCTTGGCTAATTTTTTATTTAAATTCACAACACATAATTTTTGAAAAATACAACGATGTCCGTATTCAAAATAGCAGACATTCTATCAGACATATTCATCAATCTTGAGACGCCGGATTTATTTTCATGTGCCTTAGTCAGTAGATTATGGTGCCCAATCGCAATTAGATTACTTTGGCGTGACCCATTTAGCGGTCAAATTCGTAAACATCAACAATGCCTTAAAATTTTTTCGTTATTTCTCGATGAAATTCAACGTTCCGCTATTGGAATATCTGATCTTTACCTTTATTCACAGTTTAACAAACAAATTTTCGATTATCCTTCTTTCGTTACTACCATAAATTATGGAAATTTGATAGCAGCAATCGAGCCGGTCTTCTTTCTTCCTTTACGTAGAGAATTCGATTTGAGCGTCGCTAAAACAATATTAGAAGCATTCCTTGACTTATTTGTTGTGAAGGGTGGCGTTGGAAGAATGCGTGGCATAATACTGAACTCAACGACAAGACGATTTCGAACTAGAGAGTATTCGTTCTTTGCACAGCCAAAGTATGAATCTCTCTTGAAACCACTCACGAGACTTGAACTTGCTATCCGGCTCCCAAAGAATGAAATCTTGACGATTTTGACAAAATATTGTACTCGAATTGTAAGTCTCTATCCTTCTCTTTTAAAATAAAGATTCGTATCTAAAAGTCATTTTTTGATTTATTCTAGCAACATTTTGAGATATGGATGTTTGATAACTCGCCGAACCGCATTATAGAATCGGCTGAAAAGTTAGCCAATTTTATTAAATTGCAACAAAATCTGATTAGTTTAAAAGTAGTAAACTTAGATAACGGCGCTTCATATGTCATGCATGCATTATCCTACCAAGAAAATTCACTCCAAACTTTAGAACTTGTTAATGTTAATTTCACTGAATGCCCACCTTGGCATGAATTGGCTGCTTGTCATAATCTCCAACAACTTAAGCTAGAAAATATCAAAAAAATTACTAGGGTTATGGTTCAACCGTTACTAGAGGCTGAGTTCCCACGACTAAAAGTGGTAAATTATGGTTTCTTATGGCCACAAAGTCAAGATGCAACTTTGAAGGAATGGGTATTATCAAGAAATGAGAAGATATATCAAGATACCTTTGGAATTTCGAATTAAAAATTTTCTTTCTATAGATGTCAATTATTAATGATTTATTTGATTAATAAAATAATATAAATAATAACAATAGTAATATTTATTATTATTATTATTATTATTATAAATTGTATGGTAAATTTATTAATGAATCCTTCTAATCTTTTGATCAATTTTTCTTTAATTAGAATGACAAATATATTTTTATTTTTAAATAAAACTCATTGAATATTGATTATTTCTTAAAAGCTAAGATTTTATTAGAATATTAGAATTTTAGAATATTTTCTTTCATATATATGTTATAATAAAAATGACAGATTAAAATATAATTAAATTAAAATAAAATTTCTCAATAACTATTATAAAGCATTTAACTACAGTGGCAGTCAAAGATAATGTATTAGAGAGTCAATTTGTTAATAAAATATAATAACTAATTGAAATTTTTTTATATTAAATTTTATAATTTTATTGAGTTCATAATCTATAGTTTAATATATATTTTTTTCAGAATTTTCTGAAAGAATTATTCTAATTACAAAGATATTGCAAAAATTTTTATTAATTCAACTTTATTTTTAATTAGAAAAAAATTTTGCAACTTTCAATTAAAATAACTTTTTCAGAAAAAATCTAAAAAATCTGAGAGAAATATACATTAAATTTTAGATTATATATTTCAATTTAATATAAAAATAAAAAATTTTTATAATATAAATATAAAATTTAATATAATAAAAAACTTTCAATTTTTATTATATTTATTAATAAAATAATCTAATTTTTATTTTAATTTGCAATATTAAATAATAATTCAAAAATATTTAATATTTTGTATTTTTTTATTAAAAACAATTAGACCTCTTTATAATTATATTTTTTTATTACTATTAATAAATATAATTAATAGTTAAACTTCTCTATAATTATTTAATTTTGTTTTTTTAAGAATAATAATTATAAAAAAATTTGATTATATATAATATTTTATTAATTTTTTTAATTTATTAGTTTTTATTATACTGTTTAATAAATAAAGATAAATTAAAATCAATACTAAAAGTTAAAATTTAATTTTTTATTATATATTAAATCTACTCAAATTTATTAATTAAATAAAATAAATAGTCAATTCTTCTATAACCATTGCTTTTTGAAAGATTAAAATTGGAGGCTTATAGAGAAATATAGCTATAAAGAGATTTTGATTTTAATTATAATCACAATAATTTAGTTAAATTGAATAATTTATCATTGAATTAGTATAATCTTCTAATTTATTTTCCTTTTTCATTTATGTAGGATTCGATACTATAATGTTTATGGAATAACACATAACCCTTCAATGGAAAATATTTTTTAGCAATATCTTATGCCAACTTTGGTGATTTGCGCCATCATATACGAAAGCAATTCACTAAAATAACATGGAATTATCGCATACAAGTTCTATATGATATCTGTTCCGATCTTTATTCTATTCATTCACAAGCATTATACATGGATACCCGCATTCTGGAAATATTCTTCGATTAAATGAAGATGAAGCTACAATCTGTGATTTGGGTGCTGCAATCAGACAAAATTCCACTAAGGAAAAACGCCAAATGTCTGGCGTGATGTCATTTGCTCCGAGGCAAGGCTTTCAGCATGGCATTAGATATCTATGCATTAGGAATGGTTATGTGGGAGTGGTGTGTCGGTAAACCTCCATTCGGTCAACGTCCTTTTAATTAGCCTTAGCTATACGCGACCAGAATTACCGGAAGGATTACCTGAATTTTACCGGGACTTGATTGCACGTTGTTGGCATCAAAATCCCTCACAAAGACCAACTTCTAAAGAGATGTGCGATATTGTTGAAAAATGGTCGAGGAATGATTACAGAAACGGAAAAACAAAAAACAGACGCCACCGAGAAGTTTAGAATTGCAAATGCATCCCAATTATGATTCTGAAGAAAGTTACACGACGCATCTCTTAGCCGTTAATACGAGCAAATTTTTACCGAATGTGAATCAGGAAGGTTTGTATTTTTCAATGTTTTTATGATCTAGTCAAGTAGTTCGGATAAACAAGGAAATGAAGGTATATCAGAATATCAAACACTTCAATATGGTTACGATCTCGGAAATCCCGACGAAAATCAATTAGGATATTAACGAACATAATTGTATAACGATTATCTCATTTGTTTTACTATATAGCTATCATTTCAACGCATTTATTTTTACGCCTTAATTTAAAATGGCATAACTATAATTAGAGTGTTAGACTAAATAATTTACAATTAATGGAGGTTCTTTAACGTTCTAAAAGTTTCCTGTGACGGCTTGTACGCAAATCGACCTTAAGCAATGAAAACGGAAATAATAAAATAGATTCCGCGGAGGTTTCTGATAAACAACAACAAAAGACTAATCGATAGGACTTATTGACGCGGCCTGGAAATAATGATTTCAGATAACCAAAAGCGAACAAAATGTTGGACTTAATTTCTGCCAACAATTCGATAGAAAAATTCGAAGTATGGATTGTTTATAGTGGAATTCCTCCATTACTTGTACGGCAGACAAGCTTTGAAGTTAATCAATGGAAAGATAAGTACATGTAACGAGTAAAGGTAGATGTAATTTCATCTTATTTATTAAGTATATTACCTTTGGTTAAGAAGATTCTTTTATCCGTAAAAGGAAATTTCACGAGTAACAATGTACAATGTACTGTGCATGTATATGTACAAATACCCCTTTTAAGTCAATAAACTTTTCTACTTAACGTTAAATATATCGACATAATAGTAAAACAAACGATTAGTCCATAGCAAACAACGTCAACGAAAAAAATGGCATCCTCATTGTTTTTACATGTACTGCAACTGACTGGTTGAATACATTAAATCAGAAGAACAGATAAAATTTTTTGACTTTAATGAGTTTTCCGATAAAAAAGTAATTGAAAATGGAACGTTTGGCGAGCCGAGCAAAAGATGAAGAATTTAATTGTTGCATTAAAATGCAAATAAAGAAATAAACAAACAGAGGGTATTGTACATGTATCACTTATTGGATAATTGAACAAATCATGTGTAGCAGTTAACACATTAAATTGATCTGGATTTCTTGATTCACAATTTATTAATCTTACGATTTGGTTGGTTTACACCATAAAAAATCACAAGATTCGTAACATTTTTTCACCATGGCTAGGATTTTATAATCATGCAACGGATCCCTTCTTTTATCATAACAACATGAAACGGCTCGTTGACTAGTATTCTTTTCAGTTTTCTATTTCTAATATACATCTAATATCTTTTGTAATTCTGACGTGACGCGTTTATAAGCTAGATATTCTCATTTCTTTATTGTTTTGAGATAATGGATAAACACATCCTTACAATATAATTCCAGTAATAACAAAAATGAAAGTATCATTTTGAAATCCAATATCTCAAAAATCCAATGATCCAATTTAAATGAAAATACTCCATTGAATTTATCCTGATTTCACAAATTCAATGAAGTATTTTCATTTAAATTAGATCATTGGATTTTGAGATATCAAATTTCAAAATGGTACTTTCATTTTTATTATTTCCAGGAATACATTGTAGGGTGTGTATGAGGATTAAAGATGGAGAAGTTTAAATTATGTTCAAAGCATTGTTATTTTTAATTAGGAGATAAGCTAATATTATTTTTATAATTATTTTGATAGAGCAAATATATCATCAATTCTTTTTATTTGTGGTTCCATAATAGTTTATTTTTTATTCCAAAGAAGATACCTCCTCTTTGGAGGAATATTATGTTGTTTTTATTGGGTTTCCATATTCATAATTAAATTTCAACAAAAGATTTATTGGTGACCTAAAATGAGAGTCATTTGTTTCTCTGATGAATCATCGTACTGCTTTGGTTATTTCGGCACAAAGTATAATTTTATTCTAAATAACCACTCTGGCCACGAGGTAGGATATAATTGGTCCGAAGAGTCCTCATATCATTTGATGGAATGAATCAATCCATCGTATTGCTTTGGTTCGGCATAAGGATGTCTAATGGTGATAATTCCTTTACGAATATCCTGATAATCTGCTCAATTTGGAGTTCGACATTGAATTTGTTCTTGCGCGATAAAAAAGATTTTTGGTTATAGGGTATATATAACCATTAATTCCTAAATAACCATCTTTTTCTAACAAAAACCCAATTTATTTTTTTGGATCGCAAATTTGGAACTAACCTCGATCTGAATATCATTGAATTGATAACGATAACTAATAATTCCAATATCTAAAACCTGAATGAGGAGCAAATCGTAAGAGTAAATAAAGATGAAGCAAGCATTTACTTGCGTTTAGATAAATGAATCAGACCCTGTGGTTTATGCGGCGACGACGACGTTACAAATTTCAATTTATTTTTTACAAAACGTGAATTAATACGTAACGGTATTGATAAGATTTTTATATGAAACACTTAATTCTCTCACACATGAGTTTGTCACACATAGAATTTGAATACATTCCGTTAACTGTATAACTGAACTCAAAGATGAACATCAAATACTCATCCTTGTAATGAATGTAACGATTGTCGAACGAATAGATACTGCGATAAGTGTTTAGTTCACAATACTCATGATTGTAGTAAATGTACTGATTGTCAAGAAAATAGTTGGTGCTATGACTGTTTCAAATATCACAAACGAATTTATAACGATGAATTGTCTAGCGGAGATAAAGATATTGACAATCTAACAATAAAATTAATTATAAAATTCAAACTATCTTCGAATGGATTCCTTTTGAAAAATTTACCAACTTTGAATATCTTACAGAAGGAGGTTTTGGGTCGATTTATAAAGCGACCTGGTTGGATGGACAAAAAAGTTATCCTTATTGGAATCATGAAAACAATAGATTTAAACGCTATGGAGAAAGAAAAGTGTGTTGAAAATATTATATATGTACAATTCAAAATTATTTACTCCAGATTTTATAAACGAGGTAA